CTGATAAGAAAGAAAAGAAGAGGGATATCGAAATCGGACCCAGACGCATCAGGAAGTGATGATCCAGACATAAGCATTTCCGGAGGAGGCAAAGGCAAACGAAAACCCATGCACTATGATGGTCATCCAAAGAAAAAATCTTCGAATTTTTTTGACGCAAAATACGATCCGAAAGTCATGAAACTTCCTTCCCACTCTGGAACTATGCAAAAACTAGGAATAGAATTGTAACACACTGCTACTTAGAGTTACTTTAGTTCAGAGTTACTTTAGGCTTTAGTTTACTACAGTTTCAATTTTAGACATGGGCTTTTGCAGTAGTGGTGTCTGCGCAACGAAAGGGGACGAAATACTCCCTGGATGCGCCTATGAATTAGGCCCGTCGTCGTACACGGGGTCTCAGCCTCACTAGCACAGCAGACAAAATAAATAGCGGCGCGCGTGAGAATAGCCAGCACGATCACAAACAAACCCGTGATAATATGCGTTTTGTGCAGCTGTTACACAGCATGAAAAGCATAATAAATTATGTGTTTGATTTTCGCGCCACGCTATGTTGTCTTGGCACCTTGCCATGATTTTCAATCAACTTTGTGAGCTTATGTGAAGTATGATTCTGCTTTCGACAGTGCGCAACAGGGGGCGGGAGGGGGTGGGGAGGGTTTGAGGTGTCCAGGAGGAGTGTGGGAGTTTGACGGTGCGGGACAGCTGATAGCTGCGAAGTTGTTGCGTGTACACTGCAGCGTCTCTGGTTGGTATGTTCCCGGTGGAAGCAGATCAGGATTCGTTGGTAAACTTCAGGATGGCGTTGAGAAAATTGAGCAGCGCTGGCATTTTTTGCATTCACCGACGTGGTTATGCAGCTGGTGCAAATTTTTTAAAAGATGTCCCGCTGAAGAGACGAGGCGGCGAGACGGTCAACGTGAATGACCTCACGGACAAGGCTAGTGGTCATCACTTTTTATAACACTTGTTGCGTATTTGTATGTGCGAGCTGAACCATTTCGGTCCCTCAGTTTTCATCTACAAAATATTGTGCGTATTCCAACCGTGGTTGTAAGGGGCAGAGTCCCAGTTCTGAAACTTTGTTCCTGGTTGTGGTGCACTGACGGGACAGCCATTTTGCTGCCGATGCTACTCTGTTGGTCGAGTCATAGGCAGATCCAGGGAGATGGGGCGAGGCGAAGG